CACACACATATATATATATATATATGAGGGCACCGAATATTTTCCTTTATTCCTCAGCATATAAATGACAGTGAGTGATGGCATACAACAATTTTGACACTTATTTCGTTTCCTTTCCCCATCATCCTCCCATATTTTCTTCATCTAAATGTCAGCATCTCCCCATCACTTACACGTCTGAACACTTCAATATATAATATGAATCCAAAAAAATTATGAGTATGAAGTCCAATTGCAGAAGAAGCAGCCTATTAGAGTCTCTTTAGTCAAATTTGTACTACAATTTTTGACTTTTTGAGTCAAATTGTGTCACCCATATTTGCCATCCTTGTCACTTTCTTGGAAATTTTGATTTCTTTTTTCAGTGGATGAAAAAATTTCTTGAATTAAAAAGAAAAAAGACAAAAAAAAAAAAAAAATTATAATAAAGATTTATTCACTTAAATTTTATTATTATTTTTTTGGAATTTTTAACAAAATTATTAACTTATCTTTGTATTAAGTTGCAGCAGAACAAGTCGTTTGGGTGGTGTAGTTGGTTATCACGCTAGTCTCACACACTAGAGGTCCCCGGTTCGAACCCGGGCTCAGACATTTTTTCTTTGTTTTTGCTTTTTTTTTATGTATATTGGGAGGATTTGAGTGACGTATTTCTGACGGAATATGTCTAGGTGGTGTAGTTGGTTATCACGCTAGTCTCACACATAGAGATCCCCGGTTCGAACCCGAGCTCAGACACATTTCCATTGTTTTTGTCTATTTTGCCGACACGTGCGTGAGACGTGTTTCTCCCACCGGAATTCGTGAACCAAAAGAAAAAATGGGACCCGGGACCCACCACAGACCGGGCAAACCGCGGTGCGCGGACCCCACGCCGCTCAATACCAACCACTCTCTCCTTCTCCCCATCTATAAATTTATCCCTCCACTCCTCTCCTCACCCCACCAAAAACAATGAAGCTCTCAGTAGTTTTCGCAGCCGTGCTGGTGGTGGCTCTGCTCATTTTTCTGACTGAACCGCCGTCGGCGGAGGCAGTCAACTGCAACCCAACGGAGTTAAGTCCGTGTGCAGCGGCTCTAGGATCTGGTGGACCGCCGTCAGGCATTTGTTGCAGCAAGCTGAGAGAGCAGACCCCTTGCTTCTGCACCTACTTTAAAGACCCCAGGCTGAGACAGTATATCAACACGCCTAATGCCAGGAAAGTTGCCGCCGCCTGTCGTGTTTCTTACCCGCCAAGGTGTTGAATTAAGTTACTTCTTCCTGTTCCGCCGTGGAAAAACGAGGGTGCTGCCAAAAATAAAATGTTGCATTGTTTACTGTTTGACTAATCAGACTGTTTTCACTCGAAGAGAGTTTGAATAATAGTAATAATTTAAAGTTTACCCTGCTTTCCTTTTTCCTTTTTCCTTTCTATATTGTGAAGAAGACGAACAGAATTTAACAGGGGAATATCAGAAAAAGTTGTTCATAGTTTCTACAGTACATACCCAGATAACGAACTTAACGTCAGACATGGAGGATGATGCCTGAGTTTCTTAATTATCGTGTTAAATATGCATATTTTTTAACAGAAACAAAAGTTAGGAATGGACAACGATCTGAATCAGATTGGAAGAACGTAGAATGTAGTTTCAGATATCATTTAGTAGATCGGATCGATTCATAGTTAGTGATGAGGTTAACTATAACTTACCATCAGCAATGTAATTTCAGATCATCATCATCCAGTTGGCTTTAACAGAGAGTATACATTAACTGATCTCCTAAGCCTTTTTGGGGTTCTCAAGGTAATCATCAAAGTGAAACCAGATGAGGAGAGGGATTGGAGAAGTTTGAGAGACAAAAATCAGAAGTTTTGGAAGTCAAATGTTTACACATTTTCAGGTGGAGGGGGAGGATTAGATGGGTAAAGGAAAAGGACAACAGCAATAGGTTTTATTCATGAAGTCAATAATGTTTATGCATATAGAGTAAATAGTTTGGCATTTGTTACTTTTTAGGGTGGTAGAATAGATGGCTAAGAAGTAATAAAATTTAAAGTACTTAGAATTTTTTTAAGTACTTTAAATTATCCGTGAGAAACTGTTAGAGATCATCAAATATCCGAACATGTTGATGGAAACCCAACTGTAAAAAGAAACCAACATTCGATAACTAGTCAGCAGACATGTCAATTCTACCAAAACAAGTTCTTGATTTCACATATAAAGATAGCATGTAC